GAGGGAGAACACCGGAAGAGGGAACACCGAGAGGGAGAACACTGGAAAAATAAACAGGACACGACGAGAAGACATGTGAGCTGATTCAATCCTTTTACCCCCAGATATCTTTATCTATATCCTGCACTTGCTGCTGTGTTCCTTCTGGATCAGAGATTTAGGGGGCTGGCATCCCAATAAACCTTGGCAGGGAAGGAAAAGTGATTTTTTTTCAGGTGACTTCTGTACTGTCCTTTTCTCTGCCTAGCCTCCTGTCAACCACAAGACGCTGGTGACCAACACCAGCCTACCCTGGGGAGATACCAACCAAAAAAACCTTGATCTATCCTGGAATCCTGAAGGCATGGAAGATCTTTGTTATCTCCCTCTAAGTGAACTAGAAGACCCCAGCATCTTATTTTCCCACAAAGCAAGGAAAGACCCCAAAGTTTGATTTCTCCTTTTTTTGTTGAAATCTTTCCAAATTAAAGATGCTGTCTGTAGGCTAACAGCTAGCGGAGAGGAGCGGAGCAGAGCAGCGGGCGGAGCACTGACCAGGAAAATGGCAGACAGTTTCTCACTTAACGATGCCTTAGCTGGCCCTGGAAACCCAAACCCTCGAGGATGGCCTGGAGCTGGGGGTTACCCAGGGGCTTCCTATCCTGGGGCCTACCCAGGACAGGCTTCTCCAGGGGCTTATCCGGGGCAGGCTCCTCTTGGAGCCTACCCTGGCCCAACTGCCCCTGGAGCTTACCCTGGCCCAACTGCCCCTGGAGCTTACCCTGGCCCAACTGCCCCTGGAGCCTTCCCAGGACAACCTGGCGGACCTGGGGCCTATCCTAGTGCTCCTGGGGCCTATCCTGCTGCTGCCCCCTATGGCGCCCCCGCTGGAGCCCTGACAGTGCCCTACGAGCTGCCCTTCCCTGGCGGAGTCATGCCTCGCATGCTGATCACGATCACTGTGAAGCCCCACGCAAACAAGTTTATTCTAAATTTCAAGAGAGGGAACGATATTGCCTTCCACTTTAACCCCCGCTTCAATGAAAACAGCAGGAGAGTCATTGTGTGCAACACCAAGCAGGCTAACAACTGGGGAAAGGAAGAGAGACAGTCAGCTTTCCCATTTGAAAGTGGCAAACCGTTCAAAATACAAGTCCTGGTGGAACCTGACCACTTCAAGGTTGCAGTCAACGATGCTCACTTGCTGCAGTACAATCATCGGATGAGAAATCTCCGGGAGATAAACCAGATGGAGATTTCTGGTGACATCACCCTTACCAGTGCTGTACCCACCATGATCTAATCCAGAGGGGGCGCTCTTATAACCTAAGTGTCACGCAAAGGCTCCGTGCTCATTCTGAGTGGAAAGCTTTACATTTATTCCCTTATCCTTCTTGCAAGGCATCCATTTAATAAATATTCCCGTACTGACGGGAAAAAAAAAAAAAGATGCTGTCTGTACAACTGTAAGGATACATTATGGAGGTGTGACTATCTTTTTCTGAGGCAGAATCTCACTATATAGACTAAGTTGGCTTCAAATTTACAGAGCTCTGTCTGTCTCTGCCGCCCAAGAACTGGGGTTAAAGGCATGTATCACCTGCCATGCCTAGCTGTTAGCTATCTTCTCCATCCATGGCATTATTTCATTTGGGAAGTACTATCTTACATAAGAGCTCTTCTAGTGCCTTTAACTTTGGCCCTTAAGAGGACAAAGCAGAAAAACAAAAAGAGAGAGAAAGAATTGGGGTGGGGGGACGGCAGGGCAGAAGGATCATGGATTTGAGGCCAGTCTGGATTACACAGTGAGATGCTGGGTAAAAAATAAAAAAAAATAACCATTTCCACAAGTAAATGCCTTTCTAATACCCAGCCAAGAACAGGTTTCAGGAGGTGGTATTTCAAGTGGCTATGTATTTCCCAACCCCCTCTGGACTTCCTTTTCAAATTTTTTACTTTTGGTTTTGACCCACGCCCAAAGTTCTAATGATTTACCCAAGACTCAACCACTAAGCGATACCTCCAGCTCTTTTGAGTGTTTTTGTTTATTTGCTTGTTTTTTGAGACGGGGTCTCAGTATGTAGTCACAGCTGGCCTAGAACTTGCTATGTAAGCCAGGTTGGCATGGAACTCACAAAGATCCACCTGCCTCTGCCTTTCAAGCATTGGGAATAAACACATGTGTCATCACGCCCTGTTTCCTTTTTATTTTATTCTGAGACAGGCTCCCACTAGGTTTCCAAATCTGGCCTCTAACTCACCATGCTGCTTTAGCCTCCAGGGCACCTGAGATCGCAGACATGAATATCATGTCCAGCTCATCATCTTCCACTTGGTTAAACAAAATCAGCATCATCTTTGCAATGCACTCTGGGAGAAAAGTCTCAGAAAATCTCATTCAGAAAGTTCTGATACACATATCTATTAATAACGTGTCTAATAAAACTTAAAAACACCACATATTTTTAAGCCAGGGTGAGCTGAATTCCATTATTCATCTGGCAAGAGGACTAGCTCTTCCTGGAAGCCTTTAGTGACGGTGACGTCCGCAGGATGGAGGAGTCCCTGGTCCTCTGAAGCCATCCAGTTCCCACCAGCCCCTTTCTCACCTCTCTCAACTACAGTTTCCACCGCACTTCCTGTTTGTTGCTCCTCTCAAGACCTCCAGAACGAAGGTTTCCTACGGCTCACAATGCTCTCACAATCAAACCTGTTTCCTTTTCCCACCTCTACTCACATTCTCCAAAACAACTGGCAGCTGCAGATGTGCTCAGTGTCCCGCAGGCCAAACATTGTCCATTCTTTAGTTTCTCTGCCTTTGAGAACAAGTTCTTCTCATTTCCTGGAATACTACTGCCCACCTGTGCCCTTAACAAACACCTTCAAGATACAGCTGAAGTATGTACCATCCCCACCATTTGTTTTCTGATCTGCAGGCCCTAGCAAACGTTACTTCTCCATGGAGCCATTAGGCTACTGTGCGACTCGTTTGCTTTCCTCTAGCACAGTGGACCCCAACCTTCCTAATGCTAGTCCTTTAATACCTCATGGTGGGGTGGCCTCCAACCATAAAATTCTCATTGCTACTTTGTAACTGTAATTTTGCTGTTATGAATCATAATATAATATCTATGCTTTCCGGTGGTGTTAGATGACTCCAGTGAAAGGGTTGTTCGACCCCCAAAATGTTGTGACCTGGTCCACAAGTTGAGAACGGTGCTCTAGATCGGGAGCAAAGATGATACTACCCATGTAATCTCAGTGCTTGGCACACTTCTGATACCTGATAAATATTCAGTGAAGGTCTGTGTGCTATCTGGGTAACAAATCTGCAGTTGTCTTGATGGTGAACCAGACAGTCCTACCTAGAGACCAGAGCAGTGTGTGTATTATAACTTATTATATGTATATAGCAATTACTTATAAAAAAATAAGTTCTTTGCCTGGCATGGTGACACATACCTTTAATCCCAGCACTTGGGAGACAGAGGCACGTGGATGTCTGACAGTCTGAGGTCAACCTGGTCTACATAGTGAGTTCTAAACTAGCCAGAGCTAGACTGTGAGACCCCATCTCAAAAAAATCAAATAAAAGAAAAAAAGTTCTTCCCCCAAGACACTATTATCTTCCTCCGCTGATACCCAGTATCAAGGGAACTCTGTTAATTCTGTGCTCAATTTGATCTCCCTTATTATTATTATTATCACTTTTAATTATGTGTAGATGTGTTGTGTTTCTGCATATAGGAGTGTGCATGTGAGTGCAGGTGCCTGAAGGAGCCAAACCCCCAGAGCTGGACTTACAGATGATCTGAGCTGCCTTGGCGAGTTCTGGAAACCAACTGGAAGAGTAGCAAGTGTTCTTAACCACTGAGCCATCTCTTCACCTAATTCTATCTTCTTTAATCTTTATAAGCCAAGATAAGCCAATATCCTGCCTGTTAGCACGGGTCACAACATGCCACGGGGGCCTTAGCTTTTGCCTGTCATTCGTTCTAGCAGTATCCTTAGGGAATGGAATACCAAAGTGGCGGGGCGGGGATAAAGAAAAGATAAATAGGCACAGGTATGCCCACGTCGGATCCTGCTTCTCCAGTTCCCCGGCTGACCAGGCCTGGAAGCAGAATTTGGGACGGTCCCAGACACTGCCCAGGTCCCACCCTCTCCATGGGCAAGGGAGTAAGGGTCCCCAGTGCCATAAAGTCCAAGGTCACACAGCAAACTAGACTCAGGGCCGGCCTACACTCGGGACTCCGGCTGGAGGCTGGGAGCCCGGCGCCCTCCTCCCCCGGGCAGGACGGAACCAGAGAGGCCTCACCGCTGGCGGATGCCGCCCACGCTCACTCCGCCGGGCCCGGAGCGCTGCACCGCGGCGCGCACAGAACCGCAGCTGTTGTCTGGTGTCACGGGCGACCGACACCGGCCACTTCCGGCGCCGCGCGGCACTGCGGCCAACCCGCGTGGGCCGCACTCGCGGGAGGAACAGGTGGCCAGAGGGCTCACGCCCCCTCGCCCGTTCCAGTTTCCCTGGCCGCTGCTCTCGCCCTAATTCACCCCATCGCCATCCAGCTGGCGAGCGCCGGTCGGCTCCCTGGAACGTCCCAGGGCACCTCGCGATACCCACGGTGCCCTCGACCACTGACGCGCGGGGTCCTCCGGGTTTCCTAGAACGGCTCCCGGGATGCACTTCCGCTCCGTAGCAGCCGCTCTGCGCGCCCCTGCCGTTTCCGTGGGCTGGAAAACTTGCAACTCCGGTTCTCTTCCCGTGGGAACGTGCAGAAGCACCCTACACACCTCCACGTCTGTGCCAATTCACCTCCCTCAGAGTCTGTCAGCCCAGGCCCTTAGACTTAGGGTATGCTTGTCATCTTCTAGGAGCGAGGCGAGACCTGCGTTGAGGTCAGGAAAGACTTCAGGGAATGGTGCTTTGAAAAAAAATCTTAAGGTTGAGTGTGATTTTCCTAGCTTGTTCAGGCAATACGAATTATTTGCTGGCCTTCCTCTCTCTTGAATAAATTTGGTCTCTTCTTGCCTCAGAACGTGTGTGAATATGTATGTGGTGATCGTCCTGCCTCAGCCTTCCAAGTGCTGGGATAAGCAACCATGCGCAGTGAAATAGACCTTTGTCTCTGAGTCTGTTTTTGAGGCAGAGTCCTAGTCTGTAGTTCAGACTGGCCTTGAACTTTGTACTAGTAGTTCAGGCTGGCCTCGGATTTGAGGCAATCCTCCTGCCTCAGGCTCCCTGATGCTGGGATTAGAGGCCTAAAACAGCACACCCAACTTCTAAAATGAGCGTTCTAACGTAATCAGTCAAAATTCTAGGTAGTTACAGATAGTAGGGCAGCCGGTCAGATAGTGGTGTGAAAATGGCTAACGAGGGACTCTGGACCCTAGCACCTTATCCCGATGCTGATGTTTTCATTCCTGTTGGGCTGTGTAGTGGATATACATCACAACAGTCCTTTCTATTTCACCGTTATTTCTGTAGTTAGGCAAATACAGAAGCCTGTCCCTGACTTTGGGGCACTGTGGTGGCCCTGGGTTTGTCTGATCCTCTTTCCTCTGACTAGTCCAGAAGCCTCAGTAGAAGGAGTCTTGCCTTGAGAGTTGTACCCTTCCCTTTATCCCAGTGCTGATAAGGCATTTCATTATCTCTCCCAGCACAAACACTGGTTTAGCATTAAGTTTCTTGGTGCTCATTTTTTTTTCACTTCAAACTACTTTTTAAATTTTTCTCCCTTTCCCATTTGCTGTTTTTCACTGGTGATCCGTCTAAGAGCGATTTCTAACCATATGACAGAGTCAATATTAGGCCGCCATGAGACCTCCTCTGCCGAAGAAGTCAGTCCTTTTCTTTCCCATTTAGCCTTAGGCAAGTTCTTAGGCCATGAGCAGGAAGCACCCACATTATCACAACATTGTGACATTTCCAAAAAAAAATCACAACCGTCTCTAGCCCATTTGCTTAACACTATTCCCCTCTGAAACCTCTTGAGCTGAGCTCCACAGTCTGAAGAGTTCTCAGTACGACTTTCTTCCAAGCTCCTACTAGAATGGCCCATTATCCTGCATCCAAAACAGTCTTTCTAGGCCAAAGGTCCAGAGTCTTCCACGTTCCTCCAAAAACAGCGTGGCTGGGCCTGTCACAGTAATAGCCTGACACCAGCTTCCGTGTTAGTCACCTTTCTATTTGCTGTAATAAGACAACACGACCAAGACAGCTCGTAGAAGGAAGGGTTCATTTGGGCTGACGGTTCCAGAGGGATTAGAGTTCCTCCGCACCACAGTGGAAGCATGCCAGCCGCATGACTACTGCAGCAAGCAGTGCTCGCATCGTAAGCCACAACCAGGAAGCAAACTAGAAACGTCTCAGGTCTTTGAGCTCTCAAAGCCTGCTTCCAGTGACGTTCTCCATTCAGTAAGACATCACATCCGAACTGTCCAAACAATGCCACCAAGTACTTAAATGCCTGGGACTATGGGGACGTCTCATTGAAACCACCAGACACACACATACTATGTGTGTGTGTGTGTGTGTGTGTGTGTGTGTGTGTGTGTGTGTGTGCGTGTGTGTGTGCGTAATTATGTATGTGTGTATATGTGTGTGTATATATATACATATATACATTTTAAGATAGGTATGATGGATGGTGCATACCTGTCTTCTAGTTGTTGGGAAGGAAAAAGGCAGGAGGATGGCTCTAAGTCCAAAGCCAGGCTGGCCTACAGAGTGAGTTCCTGACAGAGCTACAGAGTTAGACTCTATTTCAAAAAATAAAAAGTAGCCAAGTGTTGGTGGTGCACGCCTTTAATCTCAGCTTTTGGGAGGCAGAGGCAGGCGGATCTCTGTGAGTTTGAGGCCAGCCAGCCTGGTCTACAGAGAGAGCTCAAGGACCACCAGGGCTACACAGAGAAAACCTGTCTCAGAAAACGAGAGAGAGAGAGAGAGAGAAAGAGAGAGAAACCTAGGCCCCCTCAGTCCATGAAGATTTATGTGAAGATAATAAATAATCTTCAGTGGTGCAGCCACTGTCAGGGGCCTTTGCTCTGTAAGCAAACTCCTACCTACACTTCTAAGAACAACGCTAATGAAACTCACCAGGTCACCGATACAAAGAAGTAGAAAGGAGGCTAGGTGGAAGAGAACGAGAAAGAACAGAAGTGGGAGGGGCAAAGGGGAGGGTGACAGGGGATGTGATGAAAATATAAGGTGTATGAAAGATGAAACCCATTATTATGTATAATTAATATATGCTAATTTATTAAAGTCTGTCCTTGTTCAGGGTGCTAACAGTGAGTGGGGAAAAGACTTTGTTGTTGTTGTTGTTTATTTTGAGACAGATCTCTCTCCATAGCCCTGGCTATCCTGGAACTCACTATGTAGACCAGGCTGGCCTCCAACTCATGGAGATCTGTCCGCCTCTGCCTCCGAGTGCGAGGATCAGAGGTGTATATCTCCATGCCCAGCCTACAGTCATAGGATAACCTTAGGAGTTACACTCAGGAATCATTTTCTACTTCCCTGTCAGTGTAGCCGCATTTGCTGCTGCAACTTCACCCTTCTCCACTCCTCCCAAACCTTCCTCTAAGCCACGATACCAAGGAGCTACAGCACAGTCATTGCCGTACACACGTCCACCGTGGACTCCAGAACCAGGAGCGGAAGACCTTAGATTCTGCCACATCTAATCTAGTACACCCACATTAGTGAGCATTCCCCAAGAGCCTGGATCAGTGCAGTGGTGGCTGTGATGTCAGAGTTCTAGGGCAAATCTCCAGTCCCAGAATCCCAGCCAACTTCTTCAGACACCTGTTCCCATACAACAGTAGAAATGGTGGTGGTGAAGGACAGGGAAAGATTGGGCCAGTGATGCCACATTGTGAAGAAAAGATGGATCCAGTGAACCCCCCAAGCCCATCTTTGGGGTACCAGTATGAACTTTAGGTTTAAATAGAAGCCTAGGGACAGGGTGAGAATTATTAGTGAATGAGCGAGCAGTCCTGATCTGTGTGGTCTGGTTAGAGATCTCCATTCTGATTCTTTAGTCTGTATTGCTGGTGGGATCAGTTCCCATGAAATGCTTGCTCCTATCTCATGGTGGGACAAAATGTCAGCGCTCCTGCTGCCCCTGCTCTCTATGGTGACTGAAAGTTTAAGAAAATTACTAGAGAAGCAGGCAGTGATGGCACACACCTTTAATACCATCATCTGGGAGGCGGAGGCAGAGAGATGTCTGAGTCTGAGGTCAGCCTGGTCTACCTAGGGAGTCCTACAAGGCTACATAGTGAGACCCTATCTCCAAAAAATGTTTTTAGAAAAGGTTCATCGTATTGCAAATTATATCCTTTGAAGACTAACTTAGGAAGCTGCCGGACCTTAAATGTACTGGTAATAACACCTAAGTGCAGCTCTCCCTTGAGAAGCCTTGGCACCATGCACTCTCCTCTCCCCTAATAACCATTTCAGTTTGCCGTCTATTGCCGTTATAAACACCACGACCAAAAACAATGTGAGGAGGAGAGGGTTTATTTGGCTCATTCATGGCAATCACAGGCACAGTGAGGACGCTGGGACGGGAGCTGGAGGCAGGAGCCCGGAGTCAGGAGCTAAGCAGAGGCCGTAGAAGAGTGCTGGTCACTGGCTTGCTTTAGGCTCATTTTTAGCTACGTCTCCTGTCCCACCCGGGACTACCAGTCTGGGGTGGCACCACCCCCAGTGAGCTGGGTCCTCCACGTCAATCACTAACCGAGAAAATGCCTATAGAGGCTTTCTTTCTATTGGAGTTTCCTCTTCACATCTGGCCCTGGCTTGTGTCAAGTTGACATAAAAACTAATCAGGACACCGCTGAACAATAAATCCGCTATCTTTGCTTCACACTGACTCACCCAGAAATTCTTTTCCATGCTGAAGTAAAAATCCTGGCTTAACCTGAGTAGGGTCCCTAAGGAGGAAAGGGACAGGTGCAGGCTGCTGCTGACTGGACCAGGCTGTGTCTCCCTGCTGCTGCCGGCACGGACAGACTCGGGATCTCTAGAGAATTGAGTTTATAGGTAAGCATGAGCGGTTTTGTTCTTGAAAAAGTAACGTAAGTAGGTACCTTGCACACACTTCTGAATTCTCAGAGGTTCAAAGAAAATAAAAGATGCTAGGGCAATGGTGGCACACACTTTTAATACTAGCACTGGAGCGACAGAAGCAGGCAGCTCTCTGAGTTCCAGGCCAGCCAGGTCTACAGAACAAGTTCCAGTACAGCCAGGGCTGTTACACAGAGAAACCTGGTAACGAAAAACAGGAGAGAGAGAGAGAGAGAGAGAGAGAGAGAGAGAGAGAG